GAATCCTAGTAGGTACAGATGTTTGTGATATTATTTTATTGTGTGGTCTCCTTATGCAATAAACCCCAAAGATACACAGGCTCAAATGTAGAGTTATTGGTACAAATATTTACAAGATAGAATGTGGCAAAAGTTTAGATTTCTCTCTTCTCTCTCTCCCTCCCCATCCATCCATCCATCCACCCATAGGTTTATTTTAAGGAATTGGTTCCCACAGTTACGGGGTCTGCCAAGTCTGCAATTTGCAGGGGAGGCCAGCAGGCTGGAAACCCAGCAGAAGTTGATGTTGCAGTCTCAGGTCTGACATCTGTAGGACAAGCTGTCAGACCAGCACGTCTTGAGCTCCTGCCATGTTCTGGATCCAGAGCCAGGCTCAGAGGCTAGGGCGGGTGGGCCCTGTCATTCACTGCCTTACCAGTGCTCTAGGTAATGCAATGCAGCTTTAGATGATTTCAGTTATCGTGGTTCGTTTATGAAGATTCTGCGGAAGCAAAAATAAAATGTATTTTGCTCTGGCCTTAGCTCTGGGGGAGATGACCTCTGAAGTGACTTTTTCCCTTACACATGCTGTTAAGTGTAACTCAGCAGCACTGAGTACAACACTTAGGACGTTGTGCAACCATCATGTTGCTTGACTTTGAAAGGCTAAGTCAGGCTCTTCCCAGCGCAGCAGACTATGTTGGATACTCTAGAACAGCGCTTCTCTCTCTGCCACCATGTTTTTGGTTTTGTTTTTACAAAATGGCATGCTGCAGTATTCTTACCCTTGTTCTTCTTCAGCTAAAACATCTTGGAGATTTTCTGTACCTGTACCTAGAGTGTACTTTACGTAATAGTTGTCCACTATTCCATTGTACAGATTAATATAACTTATGTAACTAGTGCCTTTATTAAGGGGACTAAATTTAGACGGTTTCCAATACTTCCTATTACAAACAGTACAGTAACATTGTACATATCATTTCTTGCATGTGTGATTACATCTGGAATACCTAGAATAGAAATGACTGGGTCACTGGGAAGTGGTTCTCATCTCTGATAGACATTTCCTTATGACCTCTGATCAGTGGGTGTAGCAATTGACACTTCCCTCAAGGAATGTATGAGTGAGCATGTTTCCCCACAGCTTCTTCAACACAGAGTATCACTCTTGTTATGGATCTTGTAGGACCTATTTACCTTGGAAGGAAATTAGTTCCTTTTCTAAAGTATGAGCATATTCAACTGCTTGGGCTACCATCACAAAATAACATAGACCAGGTAGTTTAAACAATGGGCATTTATTTTCTCACAGTTCTGAAGTCCAAGGTCAAGGTGCTGTCAGTTGGTTTCTGGTGAGAACTCTCTTCCTGACTTGCAGAGAATCGCTTTCTCCCTCTGTCCTCACTGGGCCTCTTCTGTGCACACACGGAGGGTGACTGTGGTGTCTCAACTAGAAGGACACCAGGCCTGTCAGATGAAGGACCCTCCCTCCCGCTCTTAGGACCGTGTTTCACCTTGCCTCCCTAAATAAAGAGCCTGTCCCTGTCCCTGATATTGTCATTCCTGGTGGAAGGACTTCACTCATGAATTCAGGAGGGGGCACAAATCACTTCATAACAATGAGTTCAAAATTTGTTTTTCAGTTCCTCATTTTTCTTTTGTTTTCGATTGTGGTAAATTTTGATTTATTTTTATGCATCTTCATTTTATAGTCTTTCTTTTATGGTTTCTGTGTGTTGTGGCATAGTCTAAAGTACTCTCTTTTCAGCCCTTAATAAATTCTTTGAAGTTTTAACATTTTTTAAAAAAAGTTCACTTTTAAGTTTAATCATTGGTATATTTGAAATTTACCCTGTTGTAGGGAGTAAGGTACAGCTCCAATTCTCCCCTTTTCTTTCCCAGTTATACAATTTCCCTAGGACTCGGTCTTCAATAAATCACCCTCAGGGCCCCCTACACACATGCACAGATTTTCAATATCACCTCATTATTAAGACACTGATTCCCACGTGTACTTGGATCTGTTTTAGGTCTCTACTCTGAGCCACGTTGTGTCTGTGAATATACCAATACCACATCAGTTAAAGTTCGAGACCATTTGGCAAATCAGTTTCTTCTCATTACTCTTCTATTGCAGCATTTGTCTTTTCTATTTTTAAAAATTCAGGTATGATTGGCACAAAACATTCCTTTCAGGTATACAACATGATTCAATATTGTGAAATGATCACCATACTCTGCCTGTCATATAGTTATTTTTTTTCCTTCTCTTATGAGGAGAACTTCCAAGATCTACTCTTTTAGCAATTTTTAAAGATGTGGTACATATTATTAACTATCATTTCCCTGCTGTACATTATATCCCCATTGCTCATTTATTTTATGACTGGAGGTTTGTGCCTTTTGACCCCCTTCGCCACTCATGACCCCTGATCCTGCCTCTGGTAGCCATTAGTCTTCTCTGTGAGCTTGTTTTGTTTTTGTTTTTTTTAATTGCACATGGAAGTGAGATCATATGGTGCTTGTCTTTCTCTGTCTGACTGGTTTTACTTAGATAGTGCTTTTAAGGTCCATTCATGTTATGTCAAATGGGAAGATGTCCTTTTTTATGGCTAATATTCCACTGTAGATATATACCACACTTCTTTCTTCACTTGTGCATTGGTGGGCACTTAGGCTGCTTCTGTCTTGTGAATACTGGCTGTTGTTAATAGTGCAGCAGTGAACACGGAGGAAAAGATAGCTTTTTCTCCTGCAGATAAATACTCAGAAGTGGGATTGCCGGATCATGTGGTAATTCTAATTTTTGATTTTTTGAGGAAACTCTATCCTGCTTTGCCCAGTGGCTGCTTCAGTTTACACCCCCACCAATGCTGTACAAGGGCCCCTTTTTCTCTACATCCTTGCCAGCATTTTTATTTCTTGTGAATGACAGTTACTTAATTGGACCAGAAAAATGGAAACCCAGATTCTCCAATTTCAAAATAAACGTATTTGCATATGGCAGCTATGATAGGGGTTTTGCAAGCAGCACCCCGTTAGTGAGACCTGGTAATTGCGTGCTGCTTGTCAGCTGTGTAAATCCACAACCCTGTGGCCCAGCAGCTAGGAACCCAGCACGGCTAACATGCCACCACGAAAGCCTGTTGCGACCATCAGTGAGAGTGTTTTTAAAATGTTCAAACAGCTTTGGAGGGAAGATCCGTACCCCACATCCCGGAAGAGGATCCCTACCACCGAGACTTCCCCACCACTGGGGGGCGATCGAAGCTCAGAAACGGCCCTGCGAGTCCCCGAGGCGGCCGAGCACTTCAGCAGGTTTATTTATCCAACGCTGGAATTTGGACGTGCAAACCACCAAGCTCAGGGAAATTCCTGGATGAGGAACACAGTCCTGGGAAAAACCTAGCAAAGCTGGAATTAGCACCTTGGCCGACCGCCTTTAAAACAAAGAGATTTCCTTCATTGAGCGTCTGAAGAATTGACTTCAGTTCTCCTCGGTCTGAAAAGGAGGAAGTCAAATTAAAGGGTAAAGAAAGGAGACCACGATGGAGGGCACTTGTCACCACCTGCACAGTGGGGGTGGCAGCACGGTGTCTCGCAGGCACTGGGGCTGAGTTTGGGCTGGTGTGGGTAGGCCTCAGGCTCACCTTTCCTGGGGGAGCAGGGAGGTCAGAGAGTTTATTTTAAGAAACTGAGTCATCGCTCACCCTTGTGTGGCAGGAGGCATCCGGCCAGGCAGAGTTTAGATAGGGCTGGAAAGGTGGCCCATGAAAACGGGGGATGTGTCTTCACTGCTGCAGGCTTCGTTTCTCCTTCCTGATTGCCCTGCCGTACTTGGAACCACTGCTAGGATTGTGGGCCAGCCCTGGCACCAGCGTTGTCCAGCCAGTCCCTCACGCATTATTAATGTTGGGGGTCCAGCCAGGAATCTCTCTTGGTCTTATTATTTCCCAATATGGATAGCATCAGAGTGTCATTGGCATGAGAACTTTTGTCCTGCCTACACTTCCAGAAGGGCCAAAGGACAGGAGGCTGTGGAACTCAGGGAAGCCAGTCCAGAATGTGCGTTTGCGCACAACAGAACGCCTGAACCAATCCAGGAAATTCCGTCGCACCCTGTAGCGGCAGGAGGGCACACAGGGCAGGGTCTCCATGATCCAAGCAGACAGGCTCAAGGAGGAGTCCTGGAGCCCTCGGTGGCTTTTGCAGACTTTTATTGGGATTTTCCAGGCACACGGCAGGCAGGGGGAGGGGGTACGGGGGGGGTTGGGGGAGGCGGGAGGCTGGCAGGCCTCCCAGGCCACAGCAAGTCTTCACTCTTTGCGGGCTCTCTGGTGTTCTCTTGGGGCCTTTTTCTCCTTCTTGGGGTTCTACTTCGCTCTTTCACTCTGCTCTTTCGTTCTCTCTGCTCTGCGGGTGTCCCCGTGACGCCGCCCTTAAAAGCCCAGCCTTAGCCCAGGTGTACCCACCTACGTCTGCCCACACCCCAGTCCAGGTGCCCGCCATCGGGCATGCATTCAGGACCATAGGGATCCATCATCCATCCTCATGGCGGGAGGGCAGAAAAGCCTGATACTTTACTTCCCTTAACCCCACTCCCATAGGCACTCCATTTCTAAAGCCCCCAACCTGGTGACAAAACACCCTGAGAGTTCAGAGATTGCAGCTGATGTGAAGACTTGTGGGCCCCAGTCCTCAGCTCACCCTTCCCCACGCTGCAGCACCTCCACTCGTGTCCGCGTTGCCCATGGCCGAGGCTGACTGACGACAGCAGAGTTGTGACGGAGACTGTGGCTCACAAAGTCCCAGCGTAGGGTAAGGTAAATATCAGACTTTTCTGCCCTCCTGCCATTAGGATAGGGGTCCCTGTGGTCCTGAGCGCATGCCTGATGGCGGGCACCTGGAGCTGGGTGTGGGCATATGTGGATGGGATTCACCTGGGCTAAGGACTGGGCTTTTAAGGGCGGCGTCACGGGGACGCCAGCAGAAGCAGAGCAGCAGAAGCAGAACCACGAGAGAGCAGAGCAGCAGAGACCACCTGAGAACACCAGAGAGCCCAGACAGAGTGAGAACTTGCTGCCAGCCTCCCGGCCCCCCAGCACCCCTGCCTGCTGTGTGCCTGGTAAATCCCAATAAAAGCCGCAAAAGCCACTGAGGGCTCCAGGACTCTCTCCTCCTTTACCCGGTCTGGTCTGCTGGAATCATAGAAAACCTGCTCAGTGGCCTTCCTGCCCTCACACTCAGATACTTGCTTTCATAGAAAAAGGTGCCAACCCCTGTCTCCTCGCCCCCCCCACCCCCTACCCCCCACTATATGACTGTTTCATCCACGAGGCAACCCCTGGTGTTCCTGCCACTTCACAGACGGTGGTAGAGGCTCCGGGAGGGGAAGTGACTGCCACATTCTCAGCTGGTAGGGAGAGTGCTCTGAGAAGAACGCGAACATTCAGAAGGGTACCATAGGGGAAATGAAGATTGCTCAGGCTTTTGCACCGTTGGCCTCTGTAGCCATCACCTGCAGCCGCGAATGCAGGAGGTGCTTGGGAGCGTGGGCTCGGGATACCATGCCTGACGGCGGACACCTGGACTATGGTGTAGGCGTGCGTGAGTGGGCGCGCCTGAGCTGGAGGCTGAGCATGTAAGGGCGGCAGAGGACGATGTGTTGGAGACCACGGGAGAACATCAGAGCAAGCCCAGAGAGAATTAAGATTCTCCAGGGGGCGGGCCTCCCCTGGTGGTGCAGCGGTTGAATGCTGGGTTGCGAAGCTGCCCACAGCCTCTGCAGTGCCAGTTCGATCCCCCACATGGCGCGCAGACCTCTCCTGCCGCCCGCTGCTCCCCTCAGCAGTGTACTTCGGTCCCTCTGCCTGCTCTGCTCCCCGCTCTGGTGAATTCTCTCACTCTCCCGCGCTTCCGACTGTACCCAATGCTTGTATAAATAAATCTTAAAAAGAAAAGAAAAGAACGTAGGGCCTCCCCTGGTGGCGCAGCGGTTGAGCGCTGGGCTGTGAGGCTGCCCGCAGCCTCTGCAGCTCCGGTTCGTTCCCCGGCCGCCGGCGAGGGTCCCATTAAAAAAAAAAAAAGATTCTCCAGGGGCTGGGAGGCTTGCCAGTCTACCACCTTTCCAGGCCACCCCCCACGGGCCTAGGGGTTTCCTCCTAGACCTTCGGATATGTGGACCGGCTGCCGGGCCTGTGGCCTGGGGGAGTCATCCTGCCACACAAGGGCTCTGACAGTCCTCAGCCTTCAGACTGTTGTCACTCGGGCCCAATGTCCAATGTCTCCCTGTGCACATTGCCCGTGATTGCTTATAGCTATTTAGGCCCAGTTTCCTGATGTTTTATTTTGTTTCAGTCTATGTCTTGTGCCAGGTGTAGGGTAAGTGATTTTCAGGCTTTTCTGCCTTCCCGCCATGAGCATGGATGATGGATCCCTGCGGTCCTGAACGCATGCCTGATGGCGGGCACCTGGAGTGGGTGTGGGCATGCATAAGTGGGTACACCTGGGCTAAGGCTGGGCTTATAAGGGCGGCGTCATGGAGACGCCAGAAGAAGCAGAGAACAGAGAAGCAGAGAGAACAGGCGACAATGCCGGAGAGCCAGGTAGAGTGAGATTTGCTGGGGGCTAGGAGGCCTGCCAGCCTCCCGGCCCCCCAGCACTCCTGCCTGCCGTGTACCTGCTAAATCCCAATAAAAGCCTGAAAAGCCACCGAGGACTCCAGGACCCTCCTTTACCCTGCCTGCTCAGGTCATAGAGATCCTGCTCCATGTCCTCCTGCTGCTACCCCAGGGCATGTGTTTTGTATGATCGAGATTTACTTGGAAAACAGATCACTTGCATAAAGGGAGTCTTGCAAATAATTATGTAGACCTTCGGGGGTTTCCAGGGCTAACTTTGGGGCTGTGAGTCCCGAACACGGTTGCTGTTACACAGCGTGTTTCCTTTTCTCTTCAGCATGCAATACTGAACTCACGGTGCCTTCCTTATTGTGGTGGTTAGAACTCGGGTTCTTTTTTATAGAGGCATTTGTCCATAGAGAACAGATCTTAGATGCTCTTGAATTAGTAGAGACAGCCCCCTAATTATTTACACCAGAATCCAGGGCCTTTCCATGAGGCCTATGATAGCATTTAAGGAAGCACAACTGCAGTTGGGATTATTTTCCTGTTGGTTAACAAATCTCTTACTGTTACTTGGCTTGTGGGTCTTCTGCAAGCAATGAACCAGTTTTGATCGATGAACTCACACCTGTCTTTCTTTGAATTTCATTAATTCTTGGTTTTTTTTTTTAAAGATTTATTTATGCATATAAGAGCTGGGGTACAGGCCAGAGGTATGGGGGGTGGGGTGAGAGGATTCACCAGAGACAGAGTGGGGAGCAGAACAGGCAGACGAAATACACTGCTGAGGGGAGCAGCAGGCGAGACAGGAGAGGTCTGCTGCACCATGTGGCTATCTCCCTGACCAGCCGGGGAATCGAACTCGTGCTACAGTGGCTGTGGACAGCTTCATAGTTGTGTCTTAACCCCTTGCACCACCAGGAAAGGCCTGAATTTCGTTAGTTCTTACTTAATGTATTTTCCTGTTCCTTCCAGAATGCCTTGGTACAGTTGACCTTCATGTCTCCTTGGGCTCCTCTTGGCTGTGACAGTTCCTCAGACTTTCCTTGTTTTCCATGATGACCTGGGCAGTTTTGGTATGGACACTCAGGTATGTAGGACACTGCCCCTCATCTGGGGTTTGTCTGATGACCTGAATCACTTCTTAATTCTCTTGGCTTGGCTAACCTTCAGTACAGGTAGAGATTATTGATTTCATCATTACAGATGAAAACACTGAGGCACAGAGAGGTTAAAGAATGTTCCGAGAGTCACACAGCTAGCACAGTAGCTAGCTACAGTCCCAGCTCCACATTTCAGTTAATGAATGAAGGGTGCTCCCCAAAGACAGGAGGTCCTTGAGAGCTCATTTTTCTCAGTTGGGATTCATGAATCTATATTGAGCTGGGGCAGTGGTGTTCAACCTTGGCAGTCTGACAGAACCACTGAGGAAAATTAAAAAATCTGAATGTACAGGCCCATCCCAGACCAATTTCTTCAGAATTTTTGGGGTTGCGTCCCAGGCACTAGTAATTTTATAGTTTGAGAACCATGGATCTAAAGCAGCACTGTCCAGTGGGAATAATACCAGAGCATAACTTTCTAGTCATCTGCTTTTCTAGTGGTTTTCAGTAGTTCACTTTTTGTACTTTAAAAAAGTTAAAGAGAAGCACATGAACTTCATGATTAAATTTAACGCAGCTTACCTGAAATTTTATCATTTTAACCAATAGTCGTTATAGAAACTATCAATGACATATTTTACACAATTTTTTTCATGCTAAGTCTTAGAAATCTGGTGTATATTTTACACTTACAGCACTTCTCAATTCAGGTGCTAATTTTCATTAGAAACACTTCATCTTTAGATTCATATACCTGAGTTGTTCCGAACATATTAGAAGTATTCCTATGACTGAATTAGGTATTTGTCTTTAAATTGAAATTTTAATTGAAATAAAATGCAGTTTTTCCATCTCAATGACCACATTTCTTCCAACTGTTAAATAGACATAGGTGGGTAGTCGCTTTGGTCGTGGGGGCCATGGATCTAGAGCAGTGCTTCTCAAAGTTGAATTTGGGCACGCAAATCAATCTGGTTAAAATGTAGCTTCTGATTCAGGGGGTGTGGGGTGGAGCCCGGACGGCATTTCTAGCAAGCTGCAGGGCGGGGGCGCACTTGAGCAGCGAGGGACCGGAGCAATCTTGAGTGAGGGCTCCCTCAACTCTGGGGTCTCCGCTTTCTCGGCAGTATTCTCTCATTTCAAAGGCTGGGATGTGTGTGTGTTTGTGTGAATATATATGAAGCACATGTATACAAGCATTATCACATGTATGTATCTGAATATGTACATGTCGGAACTTGCCCAGACACACAAGCAAACGCTGCAACTATGAAGCCCACTTTGGCGCTGCATGTGTTGTTTGTCTTCTTCCCTTTCATTCAACTTACTCTGCTGTGGTTCACTGGAACGGAGCACAGCTGAGCGTTTCATCCTGATCTCAGTTCCTATATTCATTTATTTGCTTTTTAAAATGAGCACAGTGGGTTCTGCTTTCTGTTTCAATGTTTGAAGGTATTTAAAACGCATTTGATGGCCCAGGCTCTCGTGGTTTCTGTACAGCGCTGCTCCATTTGGTTCCCTTGTATTCGCATGTAGAAATGTTGTGCCCTGGTGATTTGTGTTCTTTCTATAGATGCTTTTTGATTCTCCTGTAGACATCAGTGTGGAAAGGTAATGAATTGCTTTTGAAGTGTTGTTTCAACATTTATACAGTTCGCTTAGTTCCTAACCAAAGCTGATTTAACTATTATGCCAGGTTCTAAAAAACAGACCACAGAAAACCCTAAAAGTAAAAAAAAAAAAAAAAAAAAAAAAAGAACTAAACTAAAATTGACTGAGTTCTCTTTTAAGGATTTATAATCTGAGAAAGATGTTTGAACAGAAATAGCAGTCAAAATCACAGAAATTAGTAGCCAGTCCTTGAGTTTGTTTTAGGAAACAGGTTTTCCATGGGAAACCACTGTTTTTAGCAGTTATGGAAATGAGACAAAGAAAGATAGAATGAACATAGCTATTAAAAACTTGAAAGAGAATGGAGAATAACCTACTAAAAATAAAGGAAATAAAATGAGGGATAATAGTGGGTGTATTTGGAGCAGGAGGGAGAGGGAAAATACTGATTTTTACTTTAGTCCCAATTTTAATCTTTTATTGGCCATTGTAGGTGGGAAATTGTATTCCTTTTTCTTTATGGAACAGAATGCTTATTCTGTTTACAGTTAGAGATCCCAATAACTATAAAATCTGGGTAAATTACAATATCTGGGTGAAGTTTGGCGTATGCTTTAGTCAAAAATATGTTGAATTGAATAAGAAAACAATCAGAGGAGTCTAAGTTATGGATATAAAAGAACTGAATTGTGCGCTTCAAATGTATTGATCTCACAAAGGATTATTTTAGGTTACAGGAGACTAAAGCATTTTTTATTTACTATGGATCAAACTTTATTTGATAATAGTTAATAATAATAGCTAACATTCATCAAATACTTAGTATATATTAGGACCTTATAAATTAATTACTTTATTCTCACTATTTTAATTCATTCTCATATAACCTTATTATATAGGTACAGTCCCAATATACTTTGTATAAAAAGTATTTATAAAAACATGAATCTAACACAAGCACAGAATGAATACATGTGAAGAATTTATTCATCTCATTAATGATGGGAACCATAACAGGGTTAAGCTGATTTCAAGAACAGTTTCAGGAACTTGGTATTTATAGGATTTTGAGAAAAAAGGGGGGGATTGGAATAAGATTTCTAGGATTGTTTCAAAACTGGTTAGTGTTCTACAAAGCAATCAAATCACAACCTTTGAGATCTTTTCTACTGGACAGAAATCTATGAATTAAAATGTAGCTTCAGAGAATCTGAATTCCAGTCAAATAAGATATAGAAAGTAAAACACAAGTACATTCCCAAGATAATTAAATAAATCTTAGGTAGATAGGTTAGTACTCCAGTCAGATTTTGAAATGCTACGCCACAGCCCATTTCACCCCATTCAAATTTTGGTGTCCTTTTCTTAACAAAATTATAATTATCCACATTTTGCCAAATAAGGAAAGTGATGCTTAGAGATGTTACTGTGATAAGGAAATCACAGTAAGGGCAGAGCAAAACTGAAATCCAAGTCCTTCTTATATGAGTTGAAATCCATATGACTTGTCCTATGTAATTCTTTGAATGGTGCGTGTGCGTGCTCAACATCACTTACCAGAAATGAGGTCAATATTGGGGATTAAAGAACTTGTATTATATGAAAATTTGTGTTATGATAGTATCATTTGCAATGAAATTTGTCCTGTGAAGCATTTTATTTTGTTTTGTCTGGATTTACAAACATGCTCATAATAGAAGAAGGATGCGTTCTTTGCAAGCAAGCAAGAGCCGCGTCAGTGGTAGATAAGGGAGCTAGGGAGTATAGAAAGTCTTGCCAAATATAGACTCTAAACAGGATGTGATCTTCATTTAAAAAAATTAAGGAAGGATATTGATTTTGGCATTGGTAACCTGAGGAGGCTGGAGGAAAGAAAGCTTAGAAAGAACCACGAAGACTCTGAATCAACTTAGTTTCTACCTTTTTAGTTTGAAGCTATCTATAGACACCAAAAATCATGATAGAAACTAGCAAGTTGATGCTGAGGGTTCTGAATTTTGAGCTGATTTCTAATATCCCAATGCTTTGATGAATATCTAAAGTGTTTCAGTACTGAAGACTAATCCATATAATCAATATAAATGATCTAAACACTCCAATTAAAAAGCAAAGATTGGATTAAAAAGCAAGATTCAATTATATGCTACCTACAGTTAGGTAACTTTAAATATAAAACACAAACAGGTTAATAGGAAAAGGATGGAAAAACATACACTAATAAGTAAAGCTGGAGCAACTATATTACTATAAGACAATTTAGATTTCTTTTTTTTTTAAGATTTATTTATGCACACAAGAGCTGGGGTACAGGCCAGAAGTGTAGGGGGTGAGAGGATTCACCAGAGACAGAGCGGGGAACAGAACAGGCAGACTGACTGAAATACACTGATGTGGGGAGCAGCAGCAGCAGGCAAGTCAGGAGAGGTCTGCTGTGCCATGTGGGTAGCTCCCTGGCTGGCCGGGGATAAAACTCGTGCTGCAGAGACTGAGGATTGCTTCATAGGGCAGTGCTTAACCCCTTGCACCATCAGGGAGGCCCCTAGATTTCTTTTTTTTAAATTTAGACTTCATAGCAAAGAATATTGCCAGGGAGATAAGAACTCATTTAAGATGACTCCCAGGATTCCTTCTCCCAGGTGTACACAACTTTAGTAATCCCCTGGCCGTGAGTGTGAGCAGGAACCAGAATTATGATATGGTCACTTCCACGATTATGTTCAGTGGCAAAAGACACTTTGTGGGTGTGTTTAAGGCCCCTAATTAGTTGACTTCAAATGAATCAAAAAGGGAGATTATCTATGGTGGATCTGACTTAATTAGCAAAGTCCTCAACAAAGAAACAGAAGCAGATGCTTTCCTGGTGGCCTTGAAGGAATAACGACCACATTGTGAAAGAGGGTCATGTGGCAGCAGCTGTGAACAGCCTCAGGAGCTGGAAGTGGCCTTTGGCCAACAGCTACCAAGGAAATGGGAATCTCCGCCATACAACCACAAGGCAGTGCTTCCTGCCCACAAGCAATGAACTAGGAAGAAGTCCCCAAGACTGATAGGAGATTTGAGCCCTGGCGCTTGCACCTTCATTTCAGACTTGGGAGAGCCTATGCAGGGGAACAGACTAGCCTGTGCTCACAGTCCAGATCAGCGGGTTCTCTGAGATAATGAATTTGTGTTGTTTTAAGCCACTAAACTCGTGGTGATTCTTATGTGGCAATAGAAAACTAATACAGGGTTTCATCATGATAAAGGGGTTCAATTATGTTTTCACTGATAACAGAATTTAAAAATACATTAAGCAAAAACTGAGACCCACAGGGGAAGATGGACGCATTCACAACTGGTTGGGAATTCCTGTATCTCTTTCTCAGCAATTAATAGA